TGAGGGGTATAGATAGGGTTAATGATAGGTGTCTTTTTCCATAGGATGAGGGGTATAGATAGAGTTAATGATAGGTGTCTTTTCCACAGGATGAGGGGTAAGGATAGGGTTAATGATACCAAGGCATTTCTAACTTGTACAAGACTATATTTACATACTTCTGAGGCACTGGGAGGGTCCCATACCTGAATGGACCCACATTGTACTTTAGCAGGAAGACCTCAGACCATGGTCTTTCCCCACTGCGCCTTGGCAACAGCTGCCTCAAGCTTTAGTGTGTCCCTCAGCACATAGTCCTGGACCTTGGAATGTGCAAGTCTGTAACACTCAGTCGGGGTCAACTCCTTGCTCTGGAAGACCAACAAGGTTCAGGCAGACCAAAGAGTGTCCTTCACTGAGTTGATGGTCCTTCAGGAGCAGTTGATGTTTGTCTTGGCGTGTGTCCCAGGGAACAGACCGTACAGCACAGAGCCGCATCATGGAGTTGCTCAGGACAAACCTCAGCAAAACCCACTGCACCTTCCTCCTGGCTTCGTTTGCAAAGACACATTCCAGAAGAAGATGTGTGACTGTCTCAACTTCCCCACCCACCCCACCCACACCCCCGCCCACCCCCCGAACCACCACCACCCCGTAGCCACTTCAAGGGCAGTGTCTGGTGGCACAGAGAGTCCAGTTGTACATGAAGGATCTCACAGGCAGTGCCCTTCTCACCATCAGCCCAGTGATGTCTTGCTACTTGTTGGAAAGTTCTGGCGATGAGACATTCTGCCAAATGATTTTGACAGTCTGCTCAGGGAACAACCCAACAACCCAACCCTTCTCCTTTTCCAACACGAACTCGAGGACGCTGTGTGCTGACCACTTCCTGATGGGTTTGTGCTCAAAGATGTTTCTCTTTGCAAATTTCTCCACAAAGGACAGGTGTGTGCATCCAATTCTGGACACCCTGTTACAGAGAGGGTTCAGAAGAGATTTACCAGGATGCTCCTGGGAATGGGGGGTTTGGGTTATAAGGAGAGGCTGCGACTTTTTTCACTGGAGCGTAGGAGGTTGAGAGGTGACTTTGTCGAGGTTGAGAAAATCGTGAGGGGTATAGATAAAGTGAATAGCAAGTGTCTTCCCTGGGGTGTGGGATTTCAAGACTAGGGAGCACATTTTTAAGGTGAGAGGAGAAAAATTTTAACAAGACAGGATGATGTGAAATTAACTTCCAGAGGAAGTTGTGGAAGCAGGTACAGTTATAACATTTAAAAGACATTTAGATAAATATATGAATAGGAAATGTTTGGAGAGATATGGGCAAGAGCAGGCAGGGTGGGACTAGTTTAGTTTGGGATTGTGGTCAGCATGGACTGGTTGGACCGAAGGGTCTGTTTCCATGCTCTATGACTCTATGACAGGTGATATGGAACAGTCTAGGTACTTGTGGTGTTCCGCGCCAACAAGACCTGTCCCATCCTTCACAACACCGGGGCAGATAGAACCTCAGTGTGTAGTGACACTTGGTGTTTATGCACTGAGGGTCTATACACAGCTTGATGCAGCCTCACACAAAGGTGGTCATCAGGATGAGGTTGGTGTTTGGTACGTCCTTCCCGCCTTATCCATAGTTTTGTACGTGGTGTCCCTATATAAACACGGTCCACCCTAGACCTCCAGATGAAGTGGAAAATGGTTCGGGTGACTGCAGCGGTGCAGGTTCGGGGAATGGGCCAGACCTGCATCACGTACAACAACAGAGAGAGAGAGAGAGAGAGAGAGAGTGCCTCACACCTGAAGACCAGGTTTTTACCCACAATGGAGAGGGAGCGGTGTTCCCAAAGGCCCAGTTTCTGCCTCACCTTGGCAATATGCTCCTCCCCAAGTTTTTGCACACGTCCCAGCCCCTCCGAACCATATTCCCAGCGCCTTCAGGTAATCTGTCCTGATGGTGAAGGGGATAAAGGATTGGTTGGCCCCTTGGCTCCCGAGGCCAGTTCGAACTGGTCGCAGATGCTCATGAGTCTGCGAACTAACTGGATCCAAGCAGAAAACGGTGACGTCATCCATGTACAAGGAGGCCTTAACCTGCAGGTCTCCGCTGCCTGGAATAGTCACCCCCTCTCAGGCTCACATCCTTCCTGATGGACTCAATAAAAGGCTCGATACAATACACAAACAAGGTAGGAGACAGCAGGCAGCAATGCCTGACTTTGGATTCAATTGGGAAGCTTTCTGATTCCCACCCATTGATTGAGACTGCACTAAGGATGTTGGTGTAGAGCAAGCGGATCCAGTTGTGTACTCACTCCCCAGAGCCCATTTTGGAGGCATGTCCCCCATGTAGGTGTGTGATATCCTGTCAAAAGCCCTCACCAAGTCCAGGCTGATGAGGCAGGCGTTCACACCCCTGTCTCGCAAGTAGGCGAACGTATCCCTGAGGAACGCATGGCTATAAAAGATCGTCCTGCCCGGTACAGCGCAGGTTTGGTCGGGGTGGATCACCGTTCCCACAGCAGATCTGACCCGGTTGACCTGAGACAGGATTTTGTCATCTGCCTTCAGCAGTGAAATTGGTCGCTAATTTCTGATTTCCTCCCTGTCCCCCTTGTGTTTGTAGATGAGGGTGATGATACTTTTCCCCATGGATTCACACATAGTACCTGCCAAAAGCATTCTATCGTAGACCTGCAGCATGTCCTGGCTGATCAGCTCCCTCAGAGCCGAATACAACAGACAAAGTGGATGATGGCTCGGCGTAAGAACCAGGAGAAAGAACCATTTGTGATCAGGCTGCATTGAGGACTTGGCTGTAAGAGGATGGGTATGGGAGAGCCATTTGCAGTCACATTAACCTCACTGAATAGTTCAGGCTCTAGCAGACTCTAATAGAACTGCCCAGGATACAAGACAAGCAAGGACCAAGGCAGAGGTATCTGTGATTTTGGAAAGCCATTCAGGACCATTGATATGTTCAGTAAAACAGCAACAAAGCAACACATACTCTGTGCTCTACGGTCTGTTACCCGGGACACACACTGAGACAAACATCAACTGTGCGTGGAGGACCATCAACTCAGCGAAAGACGCTGTTTGGTCTGCCTGAAACTTGTTGGTCTTCCAGAACAAGCAGTTGACCCTGACTGAGTGTTGCACACTGGCACATTCCAAGGTCCAGGGCTATTTGCTGAGGGATGCACTAAAGCTTGGGGCAGCTGCTGCGAAGATGTAGTGGGGGAAAGACCACGGTCTGAGGTCTTTCTGCCAAAGGACAATGTGGATCTGCTCAGCTTTTGGACCCTCCCGATGCCTCAAATCTATGTAAATATAGTCTTGTCTTAGTGAAAAATGCCTTGGGTTTGTTTGTTCTACATATGTTAAAAAAACTGTACAGAATCAAACTGATCTAGTGACTGTCTAGGTATAGAAAGTTTTTTTATGAGCAACGTATATTTTTGGAATATTAAAAAAGTTCAGAAAAACAGTAATCATTAGACCTGAACAGGGCACAAAGTGGAACTTTACACACCAGTAAACCCCAACGGGGGAGGGGAGGTGGCAGGGTTGGGGTGGGGGTTGGTCCCAGGTGAGGGTTATGAGTCACATTTGGGAAGGACTGTTCTGAGCCTTTGTCATTATTTTGATGATGGACACTCACTGATCTATGTTGTTGGAGTTAGCAACCTTGTTTCCTCTTTGGGAGGGACGTAACCTGTGTTCATGTCGTCACTTCATTCTACGTACAGACTCCAAAAACACCCACGAAACAATACCAACCATTCACACTTGCTTTCTGTCATATTCCACTTTGGCCATGAAGTTTATTGTCTCGTATCGGATAGATTTTTGTTTTTACGTCCAGCCCTCACCTTTAAATAACCATCCTCCGTTACTGTGCTATATTCCAGTGAGCCAGAGTTGAGGGATATAACTGGAACCAATTGGTACATCCCTTATAGAGTCACACATTGCAATCAGGCACCTCCAGAGCCATAGCTACACCTTCATTCTGTGTGTGTTTATAACAGTCCCAGGTGAACACTCAGTAATGTTCACCACATGAATATGATTAGAGACAGTTAACATTTCATTAACACAAGGTAGCCAACCACAGTGTGAGAGACACATTGACATGGAGGGCCGTATGGCACTGTGGCAGTGCCCTGCCTCTGGGCTAGAAGATCTGGGTTCAAGGCCCATGTGTGCTCCATGTCCAAACAGGGGGTTGATTAAAGTAACTACTTAGTGGACTATTAATCCAGAACACAACCAACTTCCCCTCCAACCACCAGCAACCCACCCTCCCCAACCACCATCTACTGCCCCCCCACCAGCCCCATCACCACCACCAACAATCCACCCACCCCCATCACCCCCCCCACCACCCCCATCACCACCAGCACACCACGCCCCCACCCCCATCACCACCACCAACACACCACCCACCCCCATCACCACCCCCACCACCCCCATCACCACCACCAACACACCACCCCCCCACCCCCATCACCACCCCCA